TTTAAGTACCGTAACGTTTAATTGTCTTATTGTATATGAAGTGCTTATAACTAAATTAAAATACGTACGACAACTAATGAAACACATATAGTACAAAGGATAACCGATTCTTTATTATTGCTCTTATATTAATGCTAGTAGTGGGTAGACAATATTTTTGGTCTTTCTATTCGGCTCAATCACGTCCTGGTTGAAGTTCGTTCGCTACGCTCACTCACCTTTAGGTTGGAGCTCGTTCGCTGCGCTCACTTGCCTTCAGGTTAGCTCGTTCGCTACGCTCACTTGCCTTCAGGTTAGCTCGTTCACTACGCTAACTCGCCTCCAGGTTGAAGTTCGTTCGCTATGCTCACTCACCTTTTGGTTGCAAATTAGCTGTTGTCATAAATGTAAAAGAAATAATAGTGCTGCACCCTGTTGGTAATCCTAGTAACTTTAATGCTATTGAACATCATAGAACAGAACCAACTTGTTTAATTGAAACAGCTGTTAAGATTCATTAATTCCATTTCTCATAAGGTTAACATGGGAAACTCCAGAGCCACTGGGGCGGAGCCAATTGGACGGATCACGAAATTGATGGTGTATAAACCTATTCCATGAAATTCTACACGTATGTACCAAGTTTCGTGGCAATCGGTTCAGCGGTGTCTGAGTTTATCACTGCCAAACAAATATATATATATATAAACATCCTCTTTTATACTTATAGATATACAAACATCCTCTTTTATACTTATAGATTTTTTATTATAAAATTAATTTGTAAATGTTTAATTATAAAATTAAACTGTCTTAACCTAACCTAACCAACCAAACTTGTTGATAATATAAAAAAGATATAATATAATTTTTCTTAAGTCGACGTGAGGATCTCTTGCACAGTGCCCGACTTCTTTGCAGAAGAGGTTTACATCAGCTTCTGACCAGGCGCCTGAGACGCCGGTCTAGGCGCGCGGTGTCACACTTTTGATGTTGACTCTACTCGGACACTTGATATTTCGATATTTTATTAAATAATTCTATAAACTCGGACAAATGAAAACTCGGGACAGTTGATTTATCTAAATATTATTAGTTATTTATCAAAACTCGGACAAATGAAATTCGGACAGCTGATTTTTCTAATATATTGTAATTTTTAACAATCTCGGACAGTTTAAATCTCGGACAAATGATGTGATCCCTTCTTGATTTGCCAACTTGTTTAGATGCAGTTAAAGTATAATATTTTTGCTGTATGATTCAAATATTATTTGTTTTACTCACCTGCCCTTGGGTTTTGAGGTTTTGTTTTTAATAAATGGTCTGGCTAAAAAGCGGGTCTTATTAAGTAACGAAACAGCACTTAAGGCACCTTACTCATATAATATTCATCTACGGTTTATACTGACCTTTCTCCTAATATTGTGTAGTGCAACAACAAAAATGCAAAGCACAATAATGACCTTATTTCCAAGGATGATTGTGTATTATCCTCCGTTCAAGCCAAGTATTGCTATTAGTAAAAGCATACTTGGGAATAACTAATAGAAATTCTAACGAATAGCGCTATTAGTTAGTTTTTTTGGCTAACTTCTATTTTATTAGTTAGTTTTTAAAAAGAGCTGGAAATAACTTCTACTCAGTTAGTTTAATAGACAACGAATAGATAATATATTCGCTAGTTTTAAATCGTTAGCTTTTCTGGCCAGGCGAAAGTATTTCCAGTAGGCTACGGGTTATTTATTTTACGTGTTCAGTGAGGGTTGCGTGCGTACGTGAGGGGTCAGCGCCCTTGCTGACAAACAACGTGGGGGTGGGGAAAGAGAAAGTCAAAGTCCAGTCGCTTTGGTATGCAGCGGACCCGGGGGGCGACCAATGGCAGCCAATAACAACACCCCAAGCACCAAAGGGTGGGAAGGGGGAATGTTTGTTTGGCGATTGATATGTACTGTAATCTCAAGGGTCAAAACAATGTCTTCACTTCAGTCAATTTTCAATATCTGGCCGTGACAGGTGTTAATTTTTTGTTAGTTTCTTAGTTGTCTTGTCGTTATATATATTTTAGTGTGATAGTTAAATATTTTAAATACATAAGTTATTAGGGTGAACAGTTTTAATTAAGTAGGAGTAGATTAACAATATTTGTTTGCAATGGCGGGCGAGTGTGATATCAAGTGACCAATCTTAAGTGACATATTTCAACAAGTTGAATAAATGAAAGGGTGGAAACACGTTAAAATATTTATTGTTTGTACCCAAAACAAAAATAATTAAAGCATCTGTCACAAGTGCTTCGAGGTAAGTGGAGAAAAAGTATGATGGTCTCGTTTTTAACTTGAAGTAGAATAGGCCTATATATATTTTTTTAATGAATATAATTTTTATTTTTTTAGTACAGTTAGTTATAGTGTGTTTCTCAATGTGTTTCCCATGCTCTTTTAAACTTTATCTCGCCACAAATAGGTCACTTTTAAATTTAGTAGTAAACTATACTTTTATCACACTGGAAAAACTACTTCATCAGACTTTAAAAAATTATCTGATATTTCGTAATCCATTAATTGCTTTCCATTAATTGTTGTACAATACATTTTAGTGTAAAATTCAGCTAATTGAACATCAACAAACTGTGTTTTTACCTAACCGGGAACTTCAGTTGTAACTTATGTCTGTGTATCGAAAGTAATGTTTATGACAGGAAAGGTGAGATGGATCACTATTTGTTTTTGTCTTTTGAACTATTGAAAACAGAGTGATGACAAGTTTTTGTACCACCTTTGTCGGGGAAATAAATATGTGCACTCGAGTTTGAGCCTAAATATATCTGAGATGAATTATCCGATTTTGTTGAAACAAAAATTAAATATAAGCTGGTTTAAATACATTTTACATGGAGTCAATTAAAAAGATTTCCGTTTACCAGAAAAATTTATATAGTTGAAATATCCTAAAAAGTACCGGTTTTTAAGAAACTGCACTAACACTGAAGTTTAAAATTTATTTGTAAACAAACCACTGAGCCAATCTTTCTGAAATTTTTATGGCTTATTGGTAGATTCATTGTTAACATTTTCATGCATTAAAAAAATTTTATTCACAATAGTTTTTATGCTGCTGCTAATTTTTAAAACGTATGATTTCTCCCGTGACTGGTAGCGGGTCACCTGGTGTTTGTACAATATTTCCCAGCCGGGCGGGAGCACGTGCGAATCTGCGACGTTGCCGATGTGTACCGGACTACCACACTGACATTGCTTCAGTATTCACTCACGGCAAACTAATGTGTATATCATTATTCAGTTATAAATTTACATAAATTTACTAACAAAATATTCACTAGTCATGAAACAAATACATTATAATAAGATAACTACAAATATAAATCTACAAATTAAAATACCCCCGCCGCAGCAAACCTGCCGTCTAAGCGAATTTCCATTTGGCTGAATTGATTTTCAATCGATCTATTTAAATAACATTAGGTTTAACGAGTACCTAGGTTTGCTGCTACAAGGAAACTAATAAAGTGTGTGTTTTAAGTAAAATAATTATTGCTTAGTATAAAATGAATATATTTGCCGAGTTTGATCAAAAGATATCCATAAACAAGCAAACTACAAAATTTTACAATATTCTCCATAAGAATAACATGGAAATTTTAAATTTCCAATTTTTTTTAGTTTTCTCCGTAACCAATAACCGTACAAAAACACTTTGATATACTGAATTGTTTGTTTTTTTAAGCTCTTTAAGAAGGTTTAGAGAAAAATTGGGAAATTTTGTTTTTTGAGGGTCAAAAGTGAGAAAAACCAATTTTTACCCCATAAAACCCCCCCATAAAACCCTGTTCCCATGGTCCGATCATGCTGGATCGCGAACTCATTCAAGTTTATCCCACCTTACACCTTCAAACCAAATTTCATCAAAATCGGATAAAAATTACTCAAGTTATCGTGTTCACGGACACATATATATATAAATCTATATATATATCTATATATATATATATATATATATACATATATAAAAATTTGAACGAATGGTGTTTTTGGCCTCTGGGGACATCAAAATGAAAAAGTAAATCGGTCCCGGGCTTAAGTCTTACCATGAGACCTACGGTAATAGCTACTTCCCTATAGGGAAATTCGCTAAAAACACCTTTGTTCACTGCGAACGCCTGTTCAGAGCGGCAAGCCTAGTCATCACTAACAGAGTAACAGACGAGGAAGAATCAGCGACACCAATTTTGAAAAACAACTTCTTTTAAAGTTTAATAATAGACATATAAAGTAAATTTTGTTGTAGTAATGAATGTTTTTACATTACATGTAATGTAAATGTGACGATGTTTAATTAATACTAGTGGTCGTCCAGTGGTCGAAACTCGACCAAAAATATGTAATGTACTCACTTATCTATTTTCACCCCACACTGTAAATAAAACATGTGATTGGAGTTTCCTCCATTTGTTTTGATTTTCTGTTTATATTTCGTTGTTATTTCGTAACCAGCATAGCAACGCATAAGATCCATGTTAATTTTTTCAAAATTTTAAACTCATTTTTTGTGCTTATCTTTGAGCCTATTTAAATTTATAAAGGGATTCTGCACACCTACAGGAAAATAGCTTTCCAACGGTATGCGTAGATTTTCCCTACGATTCACACGAGCTGAGAAAAAAGGTTTTAAAGAAACATGCTTGCCTATTAATATATAGATTTCATTAAAACACGATAATTAGTAACCAAGATGTGTCATTATTTCATTACATATGAAATCCTTTAAAACAACCGTCCAACAAACAGCTATCTTCTACAAATGTTGAAAACTAACTTTATTTTCTATCAGTTAGTTTTTCAACTAACTAATAACTTCTATCAGTTACTTTTTAAACCAATTAACTAGTAACTTCTATCAGTTACTTTTTATGGGACTAACTTCTAACTTCTAACTAGTTAGAAATTTTGACTAACTTTCCCAACTATGAAAAAGTCATAAAAAATATAAGTTTATAGAACCTGGGGTGTGTCATTGTCCTCAGGTTGCTCGAGCTTCTTGTCTTCTCCATGTTTATGTATATGATTGATCATGAAGGAACTGTAAGGTGTGGTGTACTTGCATCGGTCACACTGCATCCATACATTGGCCTTTCCTTCTACCTCTGCCGCAGCAGACTGCTTTTTACGTTCCTGCAATATAAAGTAAGCACTTACTTACTTTCCGTGTCCGGAAATCAGACTTCGCTTTTCAAAAAATTAGCTACCGATATGGCTTTGTTATTCGCTTGTAAAATATCATCTAATGTGCAAGACTGGTCTAGGCGTGGAAGACTTCGAAAAAATAAGTAAGCAGTTGAAACAAGATGAAACCATTCTGATGTTCTCATCCAATGTGTGGAAAATTTCAGATATCCTAATTATAGAAAATCTGAAAAGATGGTGGAAGTTGAGGGTTTCAGTTAGAGAAAACCCAATAAGATTGAATCTCAATGAAAACAATTCCTCTCAACTTAATATCTTAGTATTCAATGTTGATATAACCTTTAGCCGTTAGGTTACCGTAAAGGCTGTGTTTCAGTGATCTAAGATTTTGCACCTCCAACAATAATAGTAGACAAAATAAAAATATTCTAAAATTTTTCCTTTCTTAAACGAAAAATAATTTGCCTTGTTACAAGGACAACTGACTTCCACAGGACCTCAGTTCAGTTATTAAAAATAACTAAGCACTAAAATAATTGATAATTCTTACCTTCTCAGTGCACCCTCGGAAAATTTTTTTTTAATGTAGGATATAACACCTTAATTTTGAAAATGATCAAGCAAATAACATCGGAAAACCCTGGAAAAGCGGAAAAACAACATTTTCGGAGAAATATGTCATGTGGGTACTCAAATCAACCGGTAGAGCGATCTGAAAAAGAATGTGCAAGAAGTTTTAAGCTCCGATATATATTAACGGAGATACGGCCGGAAAACGGAAAAATAACTAAGCTTCGACCGGAAATTTGGTTTGGTTAAGTTGTGTTGGATTAGGTTGGGTTAGGTTAGGTTAGGTCGGGTTTAGGTTGGATTATGTTGGGTTGGATTAAGTTAGGTTATGTTATCAATAACATTGGTATTGTTAGTAACCTAACCTAAACCAACGTAACCTAACCAACCCTTTTCCAGTCATAGCTTAGTTATTTTTTCGTTTTCCGGCGCTTTACCGGCCGTATCTCTGTTAATATTCATCAGATCTTAAAAATTGAATACTCTGGTTCAGCTTGCTCTATCGTTTAATTTGAGTGCTCACATGGCAAATTTTGGCGTAAAAAATATTTTTCTTTTTTTCCGTGGTTTTCTGGTGGTGTTTTAATTTAATTTTCCGATGGTGCACTGAGAAGGTAGGAATTACCAAATAATTAACATAACACAACTGAAGCGCAATGCTTAAACACCTCTGGATACAACTTTAAACAATTAATATTTTTTTTATCATCAACACAGTTATTGCTTACTGAGAAGAAAAACAAATTTTACCAACTCTTATTACTATTGTAGATAAGTACAATGAGTACTTTTGTAAGTACAAGAAACATCCAACTTGTAATGCAAAATATTTTAAATACGTTGCAAAAGTAAAAAATCCATATTTTGTTTAACATTGAACATTTTTTACACATCATTGAATAAAGTTATCCAACAATATTAACGGAGTTTGTCTTGAATTATCGGTATTAAGTGACAAAGAATGATCATGTAATGTTACAGAAATTTAATTAAGTTACTGTACTTACATGGAATGTAGGTACTGAAGACTCAGGTTTCTTGAAAGCTGAAAGTTACAAATAAGTCATTACAAACACTCTGAATTTGTGATAAACTAATTCAACCTCAACCTCAGCTAGTTGACTCATTGACAACTGATTTTTCATTTATCTATTCATATTTTTTAGGTTATGTCCTTTTATGTCTTTTATAATATATGTAATTCAGCACGATATGTCAATTTTTAACCAAAACAAAAGTCAAACCCTTGACCTCTACATCTATACTGATGTAAAAAGAAGCAAAACTTTTGTTGCAGTCCTTATTAAACTCACTAATACTGTAAACTTTCACCCAAGCCAGACACCATTTATTTCAGGTGGGCCCTCCCTCCAGCTAAGCTAGCTCACTATGGACTGCACACGTTCGGGATTCAAACCAGTGCATGTGGAAAGACCTCAAGGCTAGACTCCTCAGTACGCCTGAGCCAACTGAGCTACAATGCCACCGTTGGGCCAACAAGTTGATTGCCAGTATAAGCACATAATGACATTAGCGTTAAAAGGTTAGATTCAACGTACTACTTGAGGGTCAGTGGGTTAGCAGTACGACTATCTCGCTGCAAAATGTGGTAACGAGCTGGACCCATGATTCTATTAACACCGTCAATAAAATAAAACACTAACTCAGAATTATTAGTCCAGGTGAAGAATGCTCAAAAAAAGGTATAGAGAAATGTTTGGAAAACAATTATTTACTTTGTAAGGAAGTGAGCATATCGAAAATATCCTAGCTACATGAAAACCCATAACAAAATGAAAAGTTATTAAATTTGAAACAAGCCTTGCCCAGTAACATTTTTTTAATATCTTGTAATACGAGATAGTCTTTTTGTTATCTCCTATTAAAAGTCTGTAAATTTACAAAAATTCATCTTCCCTCACATTTTTTATCCTTTTGACCCAATTCTGCTATGTACCTAAAAAAAATGTAGGCTAGAGGGTTGTAGAGCATCAAATTCCTTTAATAAAATACAGTGTAATTGATCATTCCCGGGACAGTGTCAAAAATCTTTACCATTTTAGATCAAGTAATGAGATTTGGTATATCAATAATGACCATAAATGAGTACTCTTTTAAGCTATTATCATTTTTTGTATCCCTTAAAAGCATCAAAGCATCCCTTAAAAGCTCCCCCTGGGGCAGCCCAAGAGGAGTCAGACAAAATCTTTAAATAGCAGCAAAGGTCGAGTTTGGTATCACATTACAGGTCTTAGTTAGTAGAACACAGTGCCGCAAACCCAAAATAAAATGGACAATCGAGTTGAAAACGGCATCAGTTTAAATATTTCTTTAATCTGCCATTTTGAATCTTTGAATGGCTGCCATATTTTACTCAGTTGTTCTTTTGGGAAAACATTTTTGGCATTGTATTCTACCAATAAAGACCTTTAATTTGATGTGCATATCGACCTATGCATAAGTTTATGATTTTCTTACGAATTCTAGCAGGCGCTCCCTGAGGAAGTAGCGTATAATAGCATTGCAATTCAATGAATCTTTGAACTGCTGCAATTTTTGACTTGGTTGTCCTTTTAAGTTCGGGTTTGGGGTAATGTTTTTTACCAACTAAGACCTTTAATTCGATACTAAACTTGACCTATACTGCCATTTAAGAATTTTGTATGACTCCTCGTGGGCTGCCCCCTTATGGGATAACAAAATTATAATCGCTTAAAATACAGTAGTTGACATTTATGGTTATTTTTTATATACCAAGTCTCATTATTCTATCTATAACTAAAAAAAAAAAATTACACCACCCCGGGACTCACACTGTATGTATATCTATCTATTCTTTCTATATCTAAATAAATAAAATTAGAGTTTTGTCTGTACATTGCTCAGAATTAAATATTTTTAGGTTCATTTTAGCGAATTTCCCATATAGGGAATAAGCTATTACCGTAGTACTCATGGTAAGACCTGGACCCTTACTTACAACCTTGTCATTTAGAGGTGTTTTTAACATTACTTCATGGCTTGCAGGCTGTTCGTTATTTGATATGGCTCTGTTGAAGAAACACCAAGATGCTGAACCTTGAGGGCATTTGCTATGACGAGGTTTGCTATCTGTTGAATTGCAATGCTCCAAAGTAGCAAAAATTTCATTTTTCATTTTTCCTATGTCGCCTAAATTGTTCTGAATGGCGTTTCTATAGAAACTTGTAAGTTTGTCAATTGTTGTGCCCTTTAGGCTACCATGCTTTTTTCCTCCTAGTGGTTCTCCGTTGCCAGTGAAGTCTGCTACAACTTTTCTCAATCCTGTTCCTTATCGTTTAGCCACATGGTTGAGACAGTCAACCTTTTCAATTTTAGTGTCCCCATAAGGTTTTAAATCAGTCAGGTGAGAATAAGTTTTGGAATCCCCATCGGAGACTACAGTGGCATTTCGTTGCCAAATACGCTCTCCTGCAACTACCTCCATATTGGGAGATGGCCCATCATAATTATTTTGACATTGAGTTTTATGGTTTAGAAACCAGGTTTTGAAGTCCTCTGAATTACCACCCAGCTCATTTTTCTTTGCCTCACAAGACCGACAATATTTTGTCAGTACCTCATAGTCTATTACAAGTCCAGTAAATACTTCTACACAACAGCCGACTCCGTTTTTAGAAGTGAACCCCCTTTTTTGCCAGCTCCCATCGTAGCTTACAGTTATGTCAAACGGACCTTTGTAATCTTAAGGTAAGTTATCCACCTCACAATAGGCTTTGCGCACTTCGGATCGAGCTGCTTCAATATTTGCGTCAGCGGATTCTTAACATACCTACCTGGTGTATTTTTTCCATATGCCATTTGAAAGATTTTAATTGAATAGGCTTCGTGTTAAGGTGCATACTGAAGGTTTCTATACCTCTATAACCTTTACCTAGTGACATGAATGACTGAACCATACGACGGTTTATATCGTAAGGAGCTCGTGTTGAGTTATTCGTTGCATGGCCTAACCGCTGCAAAGTTTCAAAGGTTGTTTCAGACTCACAAGTCTCACATTTTACTTTTATGACTGAAGCATATCCCTGAATACATTCTTCAGTTGACAGAGTTTTGTTTAAACATTCAGAACATGGAAAAGTACATAAGAACTTAGTAAGTAGGCTTTTGTCAAGTATAACATAACTTGGCGCGGATTGATTGATTCTAATTTGATCATTGTATGTACTATACAGAGCAAATCCTGTAGGTTTCTCAGGTTTACATTGCTGTAAATTACATCTACTGGTGCTAGGTTCAGGTTCATTTGAGTTTTGTTGAAAACTAGGCAACACACTAACCTCACTTGTCACTTCACAAATATTGTCTATTGTTTCTGTATTTGTACTACTGTACCGAATACTTACATTTTGTTTATTCTTTAGCTGAATGTTTTTTTCTTTTAATGGAAATTCTTCCCATTGTAAATCACTAATAAAAATCACTAAACAATATAAATCTGTTTGAGGTACAATAACAAACAACACAGAGTGTTAACAAACAAAACAGACTAACATGGCACCTGTTTTATTTATGTTATTTGTTTCATCAGCTGACCAATAAAGGCAGGCACTAGGATTTAACATTTTCCTAGTTTTTAATTTTAATATACAGGGTGGCTGGTCATCAGTGTTACAAAATTTTTTTGGCGTAAGTACTAAGTAAATGCAGTGTAATGATGCATATAAAAGGTTCCAAGTTCAAAAATTAGCTTCCCAAAGAATTATTTTATGTTTTTCAAAAATAACTATGTTTTCAAACTTAATACAGCTATTTCTCAATTACCTGTAATTGGATTTGAGTAGACAATGTCATTTTCGTGTTCTACATTGAATTTTGAATAAGAATAATAATAGAAAATGACAGAGGATCAGTTGTAAAAACTCCATTGTAAATAGATTCAAAGATAAAAATTAAGATGTTTGAAAAGAATTTAAAAAACATTGGTCTATTGTATTTGTTCACACCCTGTATACAAGAAAGTGTCCGAATATGTAAAAAACTGCGTCATTTTATAAGCTTTCCAACCATATGCTACACTATTGAGGTTTAGATATTCTGTTGTTTGTTTTAGTAGTTTGAATACCAGAAAACAGGGAACTTTTTTATTGTTTTTACTGTTAAAGCTGAAACAAAAATACAACTTTTGCTTAATACATACCGGCTTTCTATGTTTTAAATGTTAAAGACACCCTATTTTCTGCTATTCAAACCACTAAAACAAACAGCAGAATATCTAAACCTCAATAGTGTAACATATGGTTGGAAAGCTTATAAAATGGCGCAGTTTTTAACATATTCGGACACTTTCTTGTATACAGGGTGTGAACAAATACAATAAACCAATGTTTTTTAAATATTTTTCAAACATCTTAATTTTATCTTTGAAATTTGAATCTATTTACAATGGAGTTTTTACAACTGATACTCCGTCATTTTATATTATTCTTATTCAAAATTTAATGTAGAACACGAAAATGACATTGTCTACTCAAATCCATTTACAGGTAATTGAGAAATAGCTGTATTAAGTTTGAAAACATAGTTATTTTTGAAAAACATAAAATAATTCTTTGGGAAGCTAATTTTTGGACTTGGAACCTTTTATATGCATCATTACACTGCATTTACTTTGTACTTACGCCAAAAACATTTTGTGACACTGATAACCAGCCACCCTATATATGTATGAAAATACATAATAGTGTTTATATTTACATGCATATAAAAAAATATTTGAGTGACAAATCTTTTCTAACTACAGTTTGAGGGTACTTTGCAACGCGATCCAAGCGAATTCGATTTATTAAAAATCTTTGCTATACAAACTGATATAACTCAAAAACCATTTAAGCTACATTGTTGAAATTTGTTATATATGATTGGGCTGTTATTATGTAAATATTTAGGTAGAATTAGCCATGTATGATCATAAAAAGACATATAAAAAAAGTATAAAACAATTTTATCAATTTTTACATTATTTTTTCGAAATTAGCTTGCTTATTTATTACTTATTGGACTATA